CATTGTTGGGAAACAATCTAATGCAGCTTTAATTAATCCAGCTCTGACACTTACTCTCTGACCTCTAGTTCTCTGTCTCATTTTTTTTTTTTTTTAATGTAGATCAATGGCATAGAAATCTATCATGTAAAAGCATGAGACTATTGGAGATACTGTTCTTTAAAAATCTATTAATGAACTCAGTAAATGAGAAATGCTTTTTGAATCTTAAAGACTATATATTAATATTCCCATATATTTGATGGATCAATTATCTTCAACATGAAAATTGGACCAATTCTGGGATCCCAGCTGACTTTGATTACTTTCCTTGCTAGAATTTTTTTTTCACCTTGTGCAAATGAACACAAGCAGGACCAACTTGTTCTAGCATCATTATCGGGAACATCATGGACTTACAAGCATCGGTGTGATGAAAGGTGTTGTTTCTGGTGCGCTGTTCTCCTCACATCTCCCTATATTACGTATGTGTGTATTCGTTTGGCGCATCCTAAAACAGATCAGGAAAAAAAACAAAAAACAAAAACAAATCTTTAAAGATGAGAAAACACACATTTATAGGAAGAAAACACCAAGGACCTTTTAGGTGGCATTTGATCATTAGGTCAGAACTGAAATGAGGAGGAATGGTTCTCACGTCTGCACTTAGCTTTGCCTGGTAGGTATCACCTGGGTTCAGTCTCTTTGTCTTGATTTAGCTTCAGGTTTTTTCCCTAGCCTTGAAGCTACTATGTCTCATTTTAGACAATTCCATTCATATAGAATTATTGCATGCTAAAAATAAATTGAGAACCATAAAGTCCAAAAGCCATTGCTCTACGTTATTGTTGTTATGTGCCGTGGAGTCAATTTCAACTCATAGCAACCCTGTACAGGGTTTCCGAGGCTGTAAGTCTTTACGGGAGCAGAAAGTCTCATCTTTTGAAAATTGAATCACTGAGAGAAGTTAAAAATAAATTTGAGAACTATCAAGTCCAAAAGCCATTGTTCTATAGTTGGGAAAATTGAATCCCTGAGAGATATTTCACTGTATTATTTATAATTTACCTTGGGGAATATAAAATATAGAAAGATAGAAAGACACAATTACATAGTTTGAATCTTAAAGTTGAAATTACATGAAAATTTATTAATATTAATGCCTCCACCTTAACAAGTATTATGAATCAAGTCTCTACTGGTTTTCCTCGGGTGATGGGAAACATATCATCTAGTAAGGCAGTCTCTGGGCATTGGTCAAGTTAAAATTGTTTTCTTCTAGCTTCCTCTAAGGCCACACAAACCTATAGTCTTCCTTCTTGCCTGGGATAGCCTAAGTATTTATTCTCTCCTCCATATTATATGCTGCTAGTTCCTTTAGCCAAACAACCCATTTTATGGCATTCTTTATTAAAACCTGAGTTTATGAAACTGAAGTTCCTTTAAATTGACAATCAGTTGTTATGGATTTACATATTATTTTAAAACTTTAAAAATGTTGGTAATAAGACATTTACAAGGAAGAGGACTGGAAGAATATGGTGCTGAAGATAAGGAGGCTTCAAATAGTTGTGGG